CATGATTTTTTAGTATGAAAGCTGATTAGTAAGCAGTGATTACAGTATTCTCCTACGCGCTACCATATAAAGTTATCTTGTCTATCACATTTATTTTCTTCACTAGTCGCTGTCTACCTACTTGATGTCCTGCACGACAGTCATGTCCACACATGTCTTACACAAGGATTTCGCGCATTCTCTGGACTACGGTAGGTAAATGGGCGGTGCTTTCGAGCTCGAGAGGGCGTGAACTGGATAAGCGCCATATTTGCAAGTGCAATCTCTGCAAGTGGACGTCTGTCTTCAAGATGGTAAGTTTTTTTTCCCGCATGTAAGATTTAAAACCAATAAATTGATTTTTTTGTAATAATGAATCTTATCATAAATAAAATGCACCCATTCTTCTATAGATCTACACGTTTGAACTTTTTCAGATGTTCACGATAGACAGCAAGACTAATTATAACTTCCCTTGCTACGGAATTGAGGCAGCTTCTTCTTCTGATTATTCAGTTCTAAGCTCAACTGCTCTCTGCACCCCAACCTACACTTTCTTCGACAAAACGGGGATTATTGATTGTCTCAACTGTAAGTTTTCAATTCTTCGAGGAACTTTTTGCTAGCTTTTTCCTTTTCATTTATTTTCAAACTTCAGATGCTGTTGATGATCGTTCAAGAGCTATAGCCTCAAGACTTGTGCAACTTTGCGATTCTTTCGATGAGGAGCTTTTACAGGTAGGCGTTCACCGCTTTCTCTTTAATGCTTGCTTCTAACTCTTAACTAATTCTCAGCATTTATGTACCATTTTTAGCCTGGATGTCGCACTTGCTGGATGATTTCCTTACTCTTCCGTTGGCTAATCTAGCTTATAATCATACATCTTTGGGGATTATCTCTGTTAAATCTAAGTCGTGAACCATGGTAAAGAGATCTTGTACAGTATCATTTTGTTGAATAAAACGTTTATATTCTGTATAAAAAGTCTGTTTCTTACCGTAATCGGGTAATCGAGACCACATGAAATACGATCGCATCAGCTGTAAATCCTCACGGCTGTCAATGTAAACTCACACCTGTGCAACACGTGTTAATTAGTAGAAGGATGCATATGCTCAACACTCAATTAATCTCCCCGAATCACGCATACATTACTCTTCCATTCTTATATACAACATTTCCTTGGTGGCGCATAAACGCAGTAAGATCAGAAGAGAAGAAGACTGCGGAATTTTGTTGAAATTGAGTTTTTTTTTAGCTCAATATTTGTAATTTAAAAGGTGGGAACAGTCAGTTATCCTATGTAAATAATATACTCTTTTTTTCAGTAAATTAAATGTGGTCATCTTCTGGTTTTTTATAATGGGGGATGAAATAAGGAAGGATTCACTAGAACAAACCTTGTCTACGTTGGATTTTCTATTCTTATGCGCTTAAATCTGCATTTCTAAACACGCTAACGGATACTACAATATACCGTATCCATTTTCCATAGGAAAAAAATCGTGACATGAGTTCCTTATTTAACTAGACCAACCTCTCTCCATTTCCTTTTGAAAAGTTTCGAATTTTGTGCGATGACGTCATGGCGTCATTTTGACGTCACATAGAATTTGAATTCAAGTTAACGTGTAAACTGCAAAGTTCCCTTAGAACACGTGGCAACTCGAATTTGCGATTGATGACGTCATGATGACGTCACAACTTGCAATGTGTGAGATGTGAATGCATGGATTGAACCTGGGACTCTTGGTAAGGTGAATTGAGATTATAACTAAGTTTTCTAATAATAACAAAATGTCAATTTAATATATTCTCCATCTATGCTAGAGGCTTTAATTCTCTGGTAAAAAAAAACAAAATGGAAAAATAGAGGAAAGGAATTTGAATGTCTTGGATCAAAATCGAATTTTTACACCATGCTAAAAATATATCAAACTGTGGTTGTATCGGTAGTTAATAACTGAG